ACACCTACCTTAACACACATTCATATATATATATATATATATATATATATATATATATATATATATATATATATATATATATATATATATATATATATATATATATATATATATATATATATAGATGCAATAAACTGATGATGAACAGTACAAAACTAGTAACTAACTAGCCTTCGTACTGTGTACTGTTCGTTGTCAGTTTATTGCATCTATTTTAATCAATCCCTGACACACCTGATCCCTTGGTGGATCCAGTACGCTTGAAAGGGTTGTTATTTGCCATATGATTTGTATTCTTTATATATATATATATATATATATATATATATATATATATACACACACACACACACACACACATACATATGCCTCATAAATGGAAAGTAACCACAGAGAGTGTGTGTGTGTGTGTGTGTGTGTGTGTGTGTGTGTGTGTGTGTGTGTGTGTGTGTGTGTGTGTGTGTGTGTGTGTGTGTGTGTGTAGGACAGACTAATATTACATAAATGCCCACAATCACATTCATTCTTTGTTTCATGAGACACTGTCAAAGTCTGCCACATCATTCTTGTTGTAAACAGATTATAACATCAGATTGATATATGCAGACATGATAATTTGAATGCTTACTATGGGATTCAAGTTATGCCAGAATAAGTATTTAAAATTAACATTTGAATATCTTATGTGCACAGCTTACATCGGAATAAGTATTTAAAATTAACATTTGAATATCTGATGTGTACAGCATTCATGAATATTCAAGTCTTTTCTAGCCACAAGCAGTGTGTAGGTAAGCTTCACCCAAGCCATTATGCAGGGCAGCAGAAATGCCTGGACAACTTTATGGTCCAAAGAAATGAACATGAGGATGTCAAGTCTAAAACCTTTGCTTTCCAAAGATTGTTTTGATCATGCCACTGATTAAGTGGCATTAATGACAAAACTAGTTTCCAGTCTGGAAATAAAAGATATTAATCTCCACTGATTAGCTACAGTAATTTCTCTACATGTGTGATCAATGTGCTGGAACATTCATGTAGAGGGTTTATTGTTTCATTGGTAATTGTAGTATACAAAATACATACTTTTTGTCCAAAAATTACATGGATAAAAAATTGGTAGGTAAGAAAAAGAAACTTCACAAAGTTTTCACAAACATATTGTAATGAACCTGTTGCAAAGTAAAATAACCACTGTGATGCCACAAAAGGCTTAAAAGTCAGCATGGATGAATATTTTTGGCATGATGATGATGACTGTTGGATGTATTACTTTGATAATGTGAAAACAAGCATAAGAAGAAAAATAAAATAGACTATTTGTATCATGAACACATCAATATCAAGGCAAAACATATTTTCTTTTACCTTTACACTTTCATGGTGATATATTTTCATCTTTTGAGGTTAGCTTGAGTCTCTTAAGAGTAAGTTCAATTTTGTTTTTTAAAAAATATTTTAGAATTTTATGATTCAAGCAGGCAAATGTTAGATATATATAAAACCCATATTATCATCAAGAAATCATTTTTGAGATTAAAAGGAACAAGGGATATGGAATCAAATGAATCAAAGCTATTTCATTTTGATGAGATTATTTAAAGTGTTCTCATATATATATCACAGGAAGTGACAAGCTGTCTTTTTAAAAAGCATTTTAACAATTGTGTAATTACCCTAGAATATCCTGTATGCCCTGGAACACTCATATTTTCATGTCTACTCAAAATAAGATCAAGTTGCCAGGTGCTTGTATTATACATTATTAAGATCAGATATTAGGTTTTTCTAAACATAAATAATGAAAAAAGTTATTGTATTATTGCTGTTATTCCTGTTGTAGGGTTTAACAGGATTTTTTAGCAGATGAGCACATGGTTGCCAGTATTAATGGTGGAGGAAGAACCTGAAAAAAGCCCAGAAAGAATTGTCCACCCTCCATAAGCAATAATTCTCACATACCCACAATGGCCTAACCCAAGACTCAAAAGTTATTGTGTAATAAATTCACCAAGAGAGGTGTTATAAATCTGGGTAGAACAAGTACTAAAATAGCACATCTGATGTAAGTAAATGGATAATGTTTTGTAAGGAACAATTTGGAAATCTTGTAAATGTTATAATGCCAATCTACAATGATTGGACTGAAAGAGAGATAAATTTTAGAGAAAACAAAGTTTATTTGAAAACAGCATCTGATGACTCAGTAAATGAGGTAGCTCTTTTTGAAGAGTCAGAAAATTATGATGTAAATTTTACATCATTCATACCATATATACTCAATTATAAGTCAAGTCAAACTGCAAACAGCAAAGATCCTTATCTACCATATGATAATCTGTCTGCATATTAGGGTTTAGTGGTTTTTTTTTTTTCATACTGATTATTTTTAACAAACTGCACAGACCCAGATCTGCTGGGGCATTATGTGATGACAGATCTGGGTCTGTGCAGTTTGCAGTTCAATTTATCTTATAAGTGAGTATATACATAATATTTGAAAGTACTGACATTATTTTGCAAATTGCCAAAAATAAAAGGTTCAGTTAAAGATGGATGTTCTGTAGGTTTGTCGATAATGCCTAAAAGCAAATCAATAAACCTTAAAGTATTTTCTGAATTTGTTTTACCATTTTAAATATTCAAGAAGGAATAGACTGTTAATTGTATGTATCATGATCTGACACTGGGACTCCTTGTTGACTCTGAAAACAATGAGTCCACGGAATGGATATACTTTTTCTTCACGTTAATAATCATGAGAACACAGAAAGTATTTAAAGGTTAAAAAAGCACCTCTCCGGTGGCCTAGTGGTTTGAGCGTCCTCATCGGATGCGGGAGGTCGCTGGTTCTAACCCTGACCGAGTCATATCAAAAAGACTTTTAAAAAATGGTACTAACAGCTGCCTCGCTAGGCGCTCGGCATTAAGAGACTAGTGTTAGGACTGGTCGGCCTGGTGTCAGGATAATGTGTCTGGGTGGGACATCATGGTACATGTCTGCGGCATGATGCCCCAGCACTAGACATCACTATAGATTGCCACACTGCAGACATCGTAGCGGTCTGATTGAAACATTGTTAAAGCTACGTTACAAATCTCTCTCTCTCTCTCTCTCTCTCTCTCTCTCTCTCTCTCTCTCTCACACACACACACACACATACACGCACGCGCGCGCACGCATTACCTACACTAGGAGGACCTTGTAAATCCACATACATTAAGGAGGGCCACCTCAGGGAAATCATTTATACACTTCCCTTACAGTGGATTTTTCTTTTGATTTTTCACAATAACATATCCTCAGGGTCTAGAGTGTTTGAAAGACAACATTTTTTTTTGTGACTAAAATGGTGTGTTTTCCACATACCTTGTTGGAGGAGGGGGACACACATGTGGTAAATTGCATACACTACGGGGACACAGGTTTACACACCTGTAGTTCACTGCACTTTACAGGATATTGTAGGCTTATCTCCTCCTTGTCCAAGGAAAAATTTCAGGGTTCGGTGTGCTTTGTAAGTTTACAATAGTTTATTGATCTATGTTTCCTGTTATATTTGGTGTAGGGTAAATAAAACCAGATGCAACAAATATATAATTGTATATGCCTTTTTGCTGTATTTGTTTAACTTCATTATACACCTAGTCCTTAAATATGACTTCTTTTATTAATTTTAAGAGTCAATTAATCATTTTAAAGATTGTATAGGTACAAGTAAGACAGCAAAATTATGCAATTTCACAAAAATGTATTGATTTAGCAGTAGCGTATTTTCAAAATTGTCGAACTCTGTCAATCTACTTTACAGTGCTGAGAGAGGTGAGGCAGCCAAAATCGTTGCCAATACAATAAATTCGGCAACTACTGAAGCTTTACGTCGAGAAAACTAAGACTGGAAAGTCATAGACACAGAACAAAAAAATACCAACTTAATTTCTATGGAAAATGACAACTGGTTCTAGCCATCCATTGCTCATAAGCATATTTGATTGCACCAGTCATATAGCTTATGATATTTAAAAAGCTTCTAATCTATACAAGCTGGAATAAGCCTTTACAACTCATTTCTTCCTTCAGTCATACAAGCACAAAAAATTATCTATCAAAATGCGACTCTAGTAATAAAAAGGTCATTAAACATTCGTTACAATTACGTTCCCATGCGCTGTTATTGGGTAGATGGAAATATTGATTTTTTTCTTTCTCTTCTCAACATAGTACAAACAATTGCATCACGATTAATCAACACTCAATTGAGCAACAAATAATTAGATCGCATATATATTGATTTGGACTTGAAGAAAATAAACATTTTTCTTCTTGGTAGTATTATCAAAAATAATGCAGCATAATTCATATGGTAATTTAGCTTTAAATACTATTCATTTGATGATATAAATCTCCCATATGAATTAGCACTCGTGTTTTAATGCCAACCAGAACTTAATTCTTGCTGTATAAAGCATGCTTGACAATGATTTACAATATAACCTTATAAATTATTAAACGCGGATCTATAACTTTCTCATTTTTTGAAGAATGTATGGTTTTAAAGTAGCTATCACAAGTATTATTTTGGCGAGTCTTTGTTGATTTTCTGTTATGAGTTAGATTGAACTGGAACACACTCATATAGTTTTATTGAGCCGTCTTCGTCGGGTTTCACCACCAAGTGTTCATTTTTAGGTGTGAACATGTGTATTTATTATGCAAGAAAAGATTGTACTGTTTTAATTATACAAGTATTTATGTGCGCTTTTAATTTAACTTATGTGTCCCACACAAGATCATCTTAATTTAAAATTTGCAGGTGCGCTTGGGCTGTACTGGCATCTCTACCTGGATGTCAGAGATAAACTGTTCCATTGTACTCATAGTGCTATCATATCCATACACGAGATTTAGAGAGATGTTAATGATTTAAATTTACGTGGGCTTGTTGTATACACATTATCTTACACGGGATGGTATTAATTTAAATGTGCACGTTGTTACCGCTCTGGTGGGCTAGTGGTTAGAGCGTCCGCCTCGGATGCGGAAGGTTGTTTGTTCGAACCCTCACTGGGTCATACCAATGACTTTACAAAAATGTTACAAACAGATGTCTCGCTTGGTGCTCAGCATTAAGAGGTTAGTATTATGACTGGTCGGCCTGGTGTCAGGATAATGTGACTGGGTGGGACATCATGCCCCATGTCTACGGCATGAAACCCGAGTGCTATACATCACTATTAACTGCAACACTGAAGACATCGTAGAGGTATGACTGAAAATATTTTCAGAGCTACGTTAAAAATCTAAATCACACACAGTACGATATCTTATTTCATAATTGATGATTGAAAGGGTCATTTTGTAATTACCATATTAAATGCTAATTTTCTATATAGTTGTGCATTTATGCTTTAAGATGACGTCATTTTAGTAGACGCATTACGTAGGTATAGGACAGTAGTAAACCTGTTGATTTGATGCGTTCAGGCCATCAGGTTTCTTAAAAAGAAAAATAAGACAGACCTAATTCTTGATTGGCCATCGGATAACCTATTTGACTTTATTGACAAAAAGCGATTTGGAAATGATCATTGACCCTCATTCTGCACCTCAATTGCCTCTTTGTTTTTCTATATAAGGCATGATTTAATGCAAATTAGTTATTTCTAGCAGAAGCATCAGTCTTTGATGATACAAATAGTTGTGTTCAATGGATACTTACAAACTCTCAATATGGATAAATTAATTATTTTTGACCAATCAAAACTCGGCTTTAATTCACTACGAAGTAGCGAGTTGATATGCAGCACAATGGGTCACATACAAAATACGACGCTTAATCAGTCTTCTTACATTGCCGAAGAAATATAAACATTATTCTTATAAATTCATTGCGGCATCTGCGATGCAGATTGTTGTTATCATAAATGTATTCAAGCGTGATTTATGTTATTAATTTTCCCAAATCAAACTTTAAAATAAAAAATACGAGAAATCCATTTTAAATTTGGCCATAGGGAATGCAAGGAGGTGATACAAGTGATCACACTATTTTATAGCCTCAGAACGATAACAGTGTCACAACTTGGGGACCAAAAGTGTTCATACCCTGAAAACGATAACAGTGTTACAACTTGGGGACCAAAAGTGTTCATACCCTGAAAACGATAACAGTGTTACAACTTGGGGACCAAAAGTGTTCATACCCTGAAAACGATAACAGTGTTACAACTTGGGGATCAAAAGTGTTCATACCCTGAAAACGATAACAGTGTTACAACTTGGGGACCAAAGGTGTTCATACCCTGAAAACGATAACAGTGTTACAATTTGGGGACCAAAAGTGTTCATACCCTGAAAACGATAACAGTGTTACAACTTGGGGATCAAAAGTGTTCATACCCTGAAAACGATAACAGTGTTACAACTTGGGGACCAAAAGTGTTCATACCCTGAAAACGATAACAGTGTTACAACTTGGGGACCAAAAGTGTTCATACCCTGAAAACGATAAGTGTTACAACTTGGGGATCAAAAGTGTTCATATCCTGAAAACGATAACAGTGTTACAACTTGGGGACCAAAAGTGTTCATATCCTGAAAACGATAACAGTGTTACAACTTAGGGACCAAAAGTGTTCATACCCTGAAAACGATAAAAGTGTTACAACTTGGGGACTAAAAGTGTTCATACCCTGAAAACGATAACAGTGTTACAACTTGGGGATCAAAAGTGTTCATACCCTGAAAACGATAACAGTGTCACAACTTCGGGATCAAAAGTGTTCATACCCTGAAAACGATAACAGTGTCACAACTTGGGGATCAAAAGTGTTCATACCCTGAAAACGATAAGAGTGTTACGAGTGGCTGACTTCAATTGCCGTAACTTAGTAACAATATTCAAGATGACCTCATACATGCTACAATTGGTAAGTATGGACGTGGGATTCTGAGATTATATCAAATAAAGTACAAGAAAATTATCTGACAACATGAAATCACTTTATCGGTATTATAAATTAACATAGAGAAAGGCCGGAACATTAACATTTAAAAAACGGATACTTAAAGTAGCACTAAAGTTCCAAAATAGTACCGGACATTAAATGGGGACTGAAAATTATCCGAAATATTTATCAAAAATATTGGTAAAGACTAAAAATAGAACTACAATTTCGAAACTATGCCGGACTTTAATGTCGACTGAAAAATTTCTAATATTTAATATAGGCACAACTAAAAGTAGTAGTAAAAATACTACAAATATGTCCCTGACTCTACTGGAGACAAAAATCGTGAACATTAATTTGCAAATAGTTTAGACCAAAAGTAGAACCAATATTCCGAATTTTATCGTACTTTAGTTGTGACTGAAAATTATCAGGAAGGTTTATGAAAAAAATTGGCTATGACTAAAAAGTAGTACTGACAATCCGAAACTCATACTGACTTTGTCGGATACTGACAAATAAGCGGGATTAATTTAAATATGGTAGATTTATTACTACAATTTCAAATTTATACAGAATTTAATATTGATTAAAAATGAATTTTCCATCAAATATAAAAGGTTTAAAATGTCTTTTACAAACTGTCAAATAATATAAAAGTGCAGAATTTTCATATTTGGCTTTCTCACATATAAAATGTCTTGGGTATTCTTTTAATCTAACACCTACTATCAGCAGAAATGTGTAGTGTCTAAACAAAGGGACTAAATCTTACCAACATAATATCCATAACATAACCTATTCATCCAATACCCCATGCACGCTATCTACTATCAAACACCCTATACTAAAAAACCAAAACATCCTGACTAGTATCTTAAATCCAACATCTATCAGAAGAAATCTGTGGTATGTTGTAAATGAAGGACTATATCTAGCAAACATACTATCTATCACATCACGGATACCATCCTAGACCTCTTAAATACTATTAAAACATCTTGTTTAGTGTCACCACACTTACGATCAGAAGAAACTCGTCTGGTTTCAAGAAAGGAGATAAAATCGTACAAAATAGACTATCTATTACACCACTTACACTACCAAATACCCATAAACAGTATCCAAAATCCCTTTACCAGATCATGATTGATTGTGTATGTCCGTGTGTTTATGTCACAGAATATAAAACTCAAGAAAAAGAGACACTTTCGTTTTTTGTAATATTCCCTTTTCGAATCACAATAAAAACTTTCCAACGCGTCACAAAGTACATGATGTCATGACTGTCTAGATTCTTGTAACTGCCAAGATTCAGATTCTTCAAATGGACCTCACAGCTTAAATTATTTGCCAGAAATCTACTCCAGAGACTTCTATCTTATCCACAAAGCCGAAGTCATGATGCATTCACAGTCTTTGAGAACGTTAAAGAATTAAAACCCTAGATGCATTGCCAACACATGTGAACGTTGAGACAGAAGGAACGGCGATAAAACGTTCTGAAAAAATGTCTCATAGCATCGCCTTCGCTATGAACAATTGAAACATTTGAAATTATGACTGGAAACGCATCCAAGACGAAAGGGCAGGTGAATTAGATGACCGTCGTTATAAGAGAAAATCAATGACAAATGTTGCAAGACAGTTGTCCATTCTTCGAAATAACCACTCCTGACATATTGCTACTGCCATGCAGACATGCCTGCTCAAATATCGTTAGGCGTTTTAACTGCTGTAGAAGGCAAATATCAACTGAGAGAGAGAGAGAGAGAGAGAGAGAGAGAGAGAGAGAGAGAGAGAGAGAGAGAGAGAGAGAGAGAGAGAGAGAGAGAGAGAGAGAGAGAGAGAGAGAGAGAGAGAGAGAGGGGGGGGCTTTTGCGGAATTATTGTCTCATGTTGAGTATTTAGCAGAAGATGGAACCCGCCTATTTGATCTCCATCAGTAATATAAAAGTCGACTGAAACAGATCGGGCAAGATATTGCTTCTAAATTATGGGTTTGCAGGAGCAGTAGATTGCATAAGTACCATCTTTTTTTTTTACAAATGACATGTAGCAGATGTCTTCGTTGTACATAATATAAATTAATTACTCTCATGTTTGCAAAAGTTTCAAAAATTTGCAGTGATTGGATGTTATAATTAGGGAACATCATTTTTCTTGGAAGCTTTCCCAATATCTTTAAACAAAGCAAGTTGCCCAGTGCCACGTTTGCTAAGTCCAGCTATAAAGTTACGTATAAACTACAATCTACCTGGCCTGAGAATATTATCGCAGCCATGTATTTTATGTCTAATGATTGCCGTGGGGTTAGTGTTAAACTCTTTGAGTCATTTAATTATTGAATTGTTATTCAATTATTATTCATTGAATTTCAACCTTTCTTATATATTTAACCATCTAACCGTCAGCATTGCTCACTGCAGTATCAGAGCTTTACACCAATCTTTTCTATAATAATTTAGATAAAATGTTGGTGCACCCCACCCCAACCATTTACTTTGTCACACCCAGTACCAAACTCCTGACATCAACGATTTTCTGAGGGCAAATCCTTGGACAGAATTGTGGAAGATTCTTAAACTTGTCACACCATCTCGTAATAGTTGCAGTAAGAGAGGTAGTAATAGTGGCAGTAGTAATATTAGTAATTGCTATCGAGGTTGTGTAATCGTTAATGTCTTTTAATAATAATACAACAATAGCAAAAAATACTACTACTGCTACTACTACTACTACTTCTACTACTACTACTACTACTATTACTACTACTACTACTACTACTACTGCTACTACTACTACTACTACTACTACTACTACTACTACTACTACTACTAATAATAATAATAATAATAATAATAATAATAATAATAATAATGAGAAGAAGAAGAAGAAGAAGAAGAAGAAGAAGAAGAAGAAGAAGAAGAAGAAGAAGAAGAAGAAGAAGAAACATATACCGAGTTGAAGTAGGTTAATACTACTCCTTGCGAAGTAGGATAATAAAGAGCAAAAGGATATTGGATAAAATAAAAATGATCAGAAGGTAAAATATACTCTAAAACTGTGGATAAGGATATATGACTAATTTTTTTTTAAAACTCCATCTGCTTTGAGATATA